CTGATTATCATCACACCTAACAGCTGCTACTCAGACATTAATAATTCCTAAAGCTTCAAATATCAACTAGACATAATTTCTAAAATATTTTAAAATTTCATGTTCCTTCAAAATGTAAGTCAATCATAGTTACCTGCGGATCCCTTTCCTTTATTATATATTATAGATTGTCGTTGACTTAACCATCAATAGAGTGGACTTCTTTTAGACAGGTTCTTAGACAATTTCAGAGAAAACTTGCCGTTTTGCTATTTAACCTGGAGCTCGGAGAGAATACAGTTAATAAAAAGTGCATTCCTTGAAACTGAACGTGACACTCTTGAACAGAGCTTGTGTTAAATAATTGTTTCAGACTTTATTTTTTAGTAGCAGTATATTTTAGCTCAGACTTTCTGAGGCTGATATTTATGGTCAGATGATAGACAAAACAGAGGAAATCGTTTTTGATTAGTTAAAACTAGCGTAGGAATGTAGTGAGATCGTGATTTCAGGGAGTTAAGTTTTTACACGTCATACACAGTAGACTTGTTTATTTCGTATCTCAGGGAATTGATCCTCAGTGGGGGTTGACAGAGCGAACCTAAATGACTCGTTAGAAATGTACACGTCGACGTGTTTAATAAAATACATCAGTTTAAAATCGCTTTTGTTGAAGTTCTCTTTCATTTCCTGACTCTAAAATCATTTTGATACCCGGCCGGGAGAAAAAGAGCGAGAGATGATACTATGTTAATGAATCGACTCCGTCAGCCAAGACCTCCCCAGAAGAGAGAGAGTATGCAACACTTGAATTCGCCTATTTTACTTTCAATGCCAATAAGCCTTCAATCATTTATTTTATTCTTTCTCGCTTGAGTTTTGAATATTTTTTTTTTACAATTCTTTTTATCTTCTTTATTTCTCTTTTCATCTTTTTGTTTGCCAAATAGCAATCTCTTACTTATTTGCACCTCATAGTGGAAAGACTAATTCATGCTCTTCGTTTTCTAATTTAACTTCACCAAATACATGGCCCAAGAATTACTCAAGGTAGAGGGTGACTGAGTGAGACTGTTGTAATGACGTAAGAGAAGAGAAAAGAGAAATAAGAAATGCATAATAAGAAGATATGTAGGATTGATATGGGTTGATCTTAGACTTGAGGAAGCTAAAATTCTAGTCGAAGAGTAAGCATCCTGATTCTTTTTCATTATTATATGTGAACTGTCATGACTTCTTGAGGAATATTGATTAGATTCTTTTTCACTTCGCTACGGTTTTAGACAGTGGACTGATCTCGTTTTAGACTGTCTGCTCTGCTATTTAACCCGAAGCTAGGATAGAAATACAGCTGCTGAAAAGAGAATTCCGTGAACGTAAACGTAACAGACTAGAAGTGAACTTGAACTCGGCTCGCCTATTTTACTTTCAGCGCCAATAAGCTTGACCCTAACGATATCATACCTGTTTTCTCTGTGTCTCACTTGAAGTTTAAAAATATCTTAGCTTTCTTTAAACATTTTTTTTATATAATTTACGACGATTCTTGTCTCGCCTTTTATCTCTTTCTCTTTTCTTCTTTTTGATTGCCAAATAGGAAGAGTCGTGTTATATCGTAAATAGAAAAGCTTAACATACATATGAAAAATAAGTAGTTTATTCGGAGCATAATATGGTACACAGCTGAGAGCACAGATTAATGTAATAAACAGTTAATAGTTAAATCTATGGTATTTACACGAGACCTCACTAAAAGGCCGGTTTTAAACCTGGAGCTTTCCGAGCGCGTACGTCCGGGCAAATATACCCGGTAGACCCCGCACACACGGGGTTAGGTATCTGTCTACCTTCACAAAGGAGACTCTGCCTGTAGGCATAGCCTCGTCTGGGTTTCTCTCCTCGACTAGCTGAGTTTTGACGAAATCTAATCGTTAAATCCTGGATATTTACATGAGATATTCCCACAAGGCGGGATGTGGCGCAAGGCTGGTTTTGACGTGGGGTTTTCAGAGCGCGTACGTCCGGGTAAAAGTTCCCCGTAGACCTCATATACACGGGGTCGGGTGGCTGTCTGCCTCCCAAGACGATACTCTACCCATAGTTCTTCTTCACCCAAAGGTAGAGAGTCCTCAAGCAGAGTAACAATTGTTTTCATCTCCCTCGGTAAGAAAGAATGTTGTTTAAATAATCTTATACCGGTCCATCTTGTAGTGGTGTTCAGCTACTGCACAACAAATCATTTTTTTATCTGAACCTTTTTTTTTCGGTTTGGAACGACGCTTCTCTTATTTCAACGCAACCCACAGATATTTGTGTCGGTTACAATACTTCCCGTATAGATAAATTGGTCCACTGGTTTACTTTTGAAGCCTCTGATTCGTAGCACACACCACGGGCTGTTGCTCTTTCTAATGACGCCCTGGGTATGACGATAACTACATCCGGCAGCAAGGCCTCTGGTCGGGATGTTTTGCTGAGCGTGAAAGCACCTCTTATTTGCTGTTGTTCCTAGGTTCACCCTGACCCGGGTTGGTAGCAACGACTAGTATTCCAGCAAATGGCAAATAGATAACCGGGTACAAAAAACTAAGGATGTATAAAAATGTATTTTTATAGTAAAAATACCAGACATACATTTTCATAGTTAAAATATTGCCGGCAATTATTTTTTGTAAAAGAAATTACTAATGTTCCCAAGTAAATTAAATTATCAGCTGATATGACGCCAAACAAACAAATAAACAAATATTTCTAATAACCATCCATTCTGTCTTCTTTCAGTTGATAGTTAGTCCTTTCTTCAAACCTTCCTTTACTAACTTGTCTATATTTTCCTCTTATTATATTTCTTAGTCACTTTAAGAAGGAAAGAATAAAATAGCACTACTTTTGTAAGAACACGAAATCAATTAAACAATTTGGAAGATGAAATACTGAGTTAGAATTTTTCATGCTTTCATGGTTTTTCATTTAATTTATCCGATGACATGTTAACATTTACACCTTATCATGTTTGTTATTGTTCTTATCACAACGTATATATATATATATATGTGTGTGTGTGTGTGTGTGTGTGTGCGTATAATTAAGTAACGAAAATCTTAGTAAGCCGTAAAATTCTAAGTATTGTAATAAAAATAAATTTTAAAACTCTCCTTCCCTCTCTAAACTCGTCTATGTCTCTCATACTATTCCTCACCACCCTCTATGTCACCTTATATAAGATTAATACTGCCCTTCAAAAGTGTCAATTTTAAATTCATTTTTTCTTTTCACCTTTGAAAGTGAAGTCTCAAGATCCAGGGAAAAATAAAATTATCTGGTGAAATAAATTATAACTAATAGAGCTTTAAAGTGGTCTGTTTTTCTTTAAATTACATATATATATATATATATATATATATATATATATATATATATATATATATATATATATGCATTTAGTGACATAGTAATTGTGAATTCAATCTCTACACTCAGTGGAAATGGGGTCAGTAATAACTGAACAGCTCTAAAAAAGAACCAGATGAGATATTTGTTGTAACCTAGAAACGGTTACTGAATGAGGTATAACGAAAACGCAGTTTGGAAATGAAAATGGTAATCTTTATGACATAACTAAATAAAATACTTGCTAATGCCGTGAAGAAAGTAAACCACTGCTAGGGGTGGTCTACTTAGACAGTATATTACGATATTTACCTGCCTCTCCACGAGGCAGGATGCGACACAAGGCCAAATTTAATGTAGGGGAATCTGAGCCCCTGGGCTCGGACAAAAATTGCCCGTAGACCCCGCATATCTGTCTACCTAGACTGTGCCTTCGGCCTCCGGCGAGCTTCCCACTCTGACAGCTCACGCTGACAGCTAAGGCAGCATATTTTCCGCACTTACAATAGTACCCAACGTATTTATGAGGATCGAGACAAACCCATTAGTGTTCATAGATACGGTATATAACAGTTTTCTTACGAGAACCGGGAGTTTCAACGTGATACAACCGTAAGTCATGCCAATCGCAAATCAAAGCTTGCAGCACCTGCTATTCTTAAGCTGTCACCCATCAAGGTACTGACCACGCTCGACGTTGCTTAACCTAGAAAGCGTTACTGAATGAGAAATGAGTGTTCATAGGTACGGTATACAACAGTATCCTTAGAAATAGGAAATGGAATGAGAATAGCCTACCACCGTATAGTAAATAAAGGTTCCAGTTCGGAATTCTCTATATGTTACCCAGATCGATATATACCTGATGAAGGCCGGAGGGTACAAGTGCCGAAACGTTGTGATAAAAACAAAGATTAGGTAAATCGTTTGAATATAAATACGGTAATATTTTTATGATGTTTACCATCACAGGGAATTACATACGTGGTCGCAAAATGTTATTACTGACGTTAATTTACATCTTTGCGCAGAATGTTGACAAGAAATTCTTTAATTCTTATAACAATTAAAAACTACAAAATTGTACGACGATACATTTTAACGCTGGCATTATTATTATCTTTCTAATTTTCTGACATTTTATTTTTATTTTATATCTTATTCTATATAAAAAAAAAATGTCTTTTTGTGTTTTAAATATTCCCATGATGTTTTTATGCCAAAATTGTATTTATTTAGACTGTAACAAAAACACGCAATCAAATTTATATTTTTTAAATTACCAGGAACACGAATGTATTAAATAATTGTTTAGAAATAAGAATTAATTTCGTTGTAATATTGAATATATATCGAGTTTTTTAAACTTTGCAAAGTCTGTAAAAACGTCTGTCATGAATTGACCAGGTACGAAAGCAGTGAGTCCTGTGTAGTCCACTTTACAAACTAGTGAGTTATGTGTGGTCGAGCTTACAAACTAGTGAGCCCTGTGTGGTCCCTTTTACACACTAGTGATTTATGTGTGGTCGAGCTTACAAATCAGTAGTCCAGTTCATAAATCAGTGAGTCATGAGTGATGCAGTTTACAAACCAGTGAATCAAGTGTGGTCCTATTTATAAGACAGTACATCATGAGTAGTCCAGTATACAAACCAGTGTGTCATGAGTGTATGACGATAAGTACAGTGCTGAGAAATGACTCTCTCTCTCTCACTCTCTCCCTATACATATATATATATGTGTGTGTGTGTGTGTGTGTATAGGTCTATCTAAACTCTTTCATGTGGCCCCCTTTCTAATTCTTTTTCTTCATTCACACTACTATCTCTGTCCATTTATATCTGTCTATATATCTTATTCCATTCACTTCTATCTATCTATCTATCTATCTATCTATCTATCTATCTATCTATCTATCTATCTAAATTCTTTATTTTCTCAGTTATTCTAAGACCGTCTCCCTCCATATATGACTATCCACTCATATATGTCCTTCTCTCTTTCTGTCTTTCTCTGGACAGTCATCTCCCATATCTATCTATCTATCTATCTATCTATCTATCTATCTATCTATCTATCTATCTATCTCAATCTGTTCATATCTATCTATCTATCTATCTATCTATCTATCTATCTATCTATCTATCTAAATTTATCCCCCTGTCTCTGACGATCTATGTCAGTCCATTCATCTCTCTCTCTCTCTCTCTTTCTCTCGCTGTGTTTCGCCATTCATTCTCTGTCCATCCATCTCTCTCTATCTCAATCTGTTCATATCTATCTATCTATCTATCTATCTATCTATCTATCTATCTATCTATCTATCTCAATCTGTTCATATCTATCTATCTATCTATCTATCTATCTAAATTCCTTATTTTCTCAAACCAGTGAGTCACGAATGGTCCAAGTTACAAACTAGTGCTTCATGAGTAGTCTACTTTATATATAAGAGTTGACCTTAATTTAGAATAAATGAAAATAATTTTCAGTAAATAACAATGATTACTATGAAGAAACCGAGTTTAAATATTGTGGGACACTAAATATATATAGTGAGAAAATTGTTACCGTATCTTATCGTATATTTTTAGTGGGGTGGATTCACAATGGTCAGTGTTCCTTCATGTAGCTTCAATGGCCATCATGCTAAGTGGAATAGACGAGCCTCCATAGCTATACATACAATCAGTGAAGAGGTCACAGGGTACTGCTGTGCGGCGGGCTTCCGGGGTCAACGTAATGAACAAGCAACGTGCCCGTAAAAAAAAGGCGAGTCTTCAAGCTGGAATATATGGGCGACGTTTAGACCTTGGGAGGGATCGACTCCGCCAGGATTACTTGCTCAAGAAACGCTACGAAGGGATGATTAAGCCGTCGACTTCCAATCCAGAGTCTGGTCAAATGCTCAGCTGACAATACCCAGGGACATGGAACTGATGATGATGATGATGATGATGATGATGATGATGTAGAGGTGGAGGAGGAGGGGGACGAGGACGAGGAGGTGGTGGAAGAGGAGGCGGAGGACGAGGAAGTGGAGGAGGAGGATGACGATGACGAACACGAGGAAATATATAATGTGGGAACATATTAAATTTTATTTTTGAGATGGAGAATTCTTAGTATATTTTAATTTATTCGATTTATTTGCATTCAATCCCTGGGTCAGGAAAAAAAAATTCATAACGGTTGTTTGAACAGAGAACTAACAAGTGATGACACGTGAAGGACATAGGACAATAACCAGCATGTGTATGGTTTAGGCTCACCTGCCCAATCAATAGACACCTGATGATGACCATAGGGTAATTGTCCGAAAGGTTATATCAATAATAACCTTTTAATATTCAAGTCAACCGAATAAGCCAAAATATGTTGTGCTCTACACTGACTACTCATGGTTGATTAGATTGCAGTGTGTAGCTTTTGAAAATCATTGTGACTCAGTAAAAGCCACAGTTTGCATGGCTATTGGGCAATACGAAGTGATAATTATAATCTACAAGCTAAAGATTATCACGAACATTTAGTTAACAACGAAAAACTTATTTAAATCAGTTTTTCGAAGTCTAATATTCACTCCTGATGAGTTTTTATTTTTTATTTTTTTATTCTCCAAGAAATTTGATTTTCCTCGGGAAAAGAAATTCCGATGAAAAAATTGAAGTGTAATTCTTTTAATGAATTCGACCAGCTTGGTTATAAGAACTGAATTGTTTACTCAGGAAGAAAATTATCTGCTATAATGAAAATCATTAAGCATTAATTAGTGCAATAACAGGCCAATACTGATATCTATCTATCTATCTATCTATCTATCTATCCCAGTCTATCTATCTATCTATCTATCTATCTATCTATCTATCTATCTATCTATCCCAGTCTCCTCATATCTCTCCCCTCTCCTTCTCTCTCTCTCTCTCTCTCTCTCTCTATATATATATATATATATATATATATATATATATATATATAGGTCTATCTAAACTCTTTCATGTGGCCCCCTTTCTAACTCTTTCTCTTCATTCACACTACTATCTCTGTCCATTCATATCTGTCTATATATCTTATTCCATCACTCCAATCTATCTATCTATCTATCTATCTATCTATCTATCTATCTATCTATCTATCTAAATCCCTTATTTTCTCAGTTATTCTAAGACCGTATCCCTCCATATATGACTATCCACTCATATATGTCCTTCTCTCTTTCCGTCTTTCTCTGGACAGTCATCTATCTATCTATCTATCTATCTATCTATCTATCTATCTATCTATCTATCTAAATTTATCACCCTCAGCCATTCATCTCTCTCTTTCTTTCGCTGTGTTTCGCCATTCATTCTCTGTCCATCCATCTCTCTCTCTATCTATACCTGTTCATATCTATCTATCTATCTATCTCAATCTGTTCATATCTATCTATCTATCTATCTATCTATCTATCTATCTATCTATATCTGTTCATATCTATCTATCTATCTATCTCAATCTGTTCATATCTATCTATCTATCTATCTATCTATCTATCTATCTATCTATCTATCTATCTCTGTCCATATCTATCTATCTCAATTTGTTCATATCTATCTATCTATCAATCTATCTATCTCTCCATATCTGTTCATATCTATCTACCTATCTATCTTAATCTATTCATATCTATCTATCTATCTATATATCTATCTATCTATGTATCTATCTATGTTCATATCTATCTATCTCAATGTGTTCATATCTATCTATCTATCTATCTATCTATCTATCTATCTATCTATCTATATCTGTTCATATCTATCTATATCAATCTGTTCATATCTATCTATCTATCTATCTATCTATCTATCTATCTATCTATCTTTTTTGTTCGTTTCCATTTTCAGGTAAGCACAACTTAAAACCTTTTACCTTTGTCAGCCTTATCTCATTTCATCTTCTCTAACGTATGTTTTCAATAAAACATTACAAGATCCTTATCAGCATTTTTCATTAGTCAATGGGAAAGCCTTTTAAAAACGCCAGGTCTGTCACACATCGAATCCCCAGGCATTAATTCTTTCTTCTAATATCCGACATTGGTAGGATAATATCATTTTTTTTTTAAATGAATCACATATTTCCACTGTTTCAACGAATTAATGAAGCAACCATGTGACTGCTTTTAGAGTTCGAGTTTCATGGCAAGTAGGAAGGTATCAAATTTGGAAATAACGATTGATGCTAAGTATTTTTCTGCTACTCACATTCTTTTATTAATCAATTCATCTGCTTTCTTTTAGAAACAGTAGGGATTTTACCTTGAGAAAACCATCGTACTTAGATGACTAAAATCAATTTTTGTGCAGAAAGCTTTCTCTTGTTTCTAATTTCATAATATATTCATCGTGGTTATTTCATCTCATAAAACGATAGTAGTCAATATAAAAGGCATTTATGCATGTGTACAATCACCGATGTTAAACAACGTGGAGCTTGATGAGCAACCGCTTGGCAATATCAGGTGCTGTAGCTTGGATGTACGGGTAGTGTGATGGATAATGGCTCGGAATTGCTCACCGGAGAGCCGAGTTCCAACTGTAACGTCTGTGTTCGTCATATTCGCTTACGCGTAAATGCCCTTGCAAAGGTGTGAGTCGACCTTTTCTCCTCAAGCTACGGCTTCATTAATAAGACATGTATGAATAAATCATTATTATCTCCAAAAAAAAAAAATTCTTAGAATCTAAAAATAAAGGGTAAGCCCAAATTATGTTAACACTAGTATGAGAGGAATGATTTATTCAGAGTTTACTGAACAGTCTCCACCTGTCCATCAGCACGATGGATGCACAAAAACCAGGGATCAACAGTACAATTTAGTGCCCTGGTTATGGGGTATGATAAAGGATCGCGTGTATATCAAAAAAAAAAAAAGTAAAAAGAGAGACATTGAAGAACTCAAGGACAGAATAAAAGGTGTAATATCAAACATTCCTCGTGAAGTGTCAAGTCATTAAATAGTATTGTTGATTCCTGGTTTTTGTGCATCAATCGAACTGGTGGACGGATGGCGACTATTCAGTAGGCTTTGAATAAATGATTCCTCTCATATTAGTGTTAACATAATTTTGACTCACCATGTATATTCTGGCTTTAAATAACCTGAAAAGTGTTCAGAATCCGGGGAAAACGATTTAATCTGTCAACGTTTATTACACTAAATGTACGGTGTAATAATTTATGAATAAATTAAAGATCTTACAAATGATGCAAAATTAAGATTAAACCTATATGAAACTTGTTGACATAAGCCACTTACACGAGTAATCAGCGTGAAATAGTGGTTTCCTGCAACTTCTCGATTAATGACCAAGTTGCGAGAACGAAACTAGGTCGTTAAGTGAGGAGTCACTTTATTCATCATAATAGATTCAACTCCGTAAGGAATGCTACAGTGCTTTTTTTAAAATTCGCATTCTGTGCACAGTGTAGATTTTGATTTGTATAGCATGTGAATAATTTTTGCATGCTAAACACGCCAAAACAATTCAGTCTTTGACAATATGTTGGCTTTTGTTCATAAATTGTTTCCTTCTTTTAAATAATTGCACACGGCAGGCTCAACCGATTTTTAACTGTTCTCACTTTCTTAAATAGGACTCAGTTATCAACTTTGTTTTTTAAAAAAAACATCATTTCACCCTAAACAAGGCGGGAATGCCACTAGTACGCAGAGGGGTACAGAGAGTGAAGGTGAGAGAAAAGACTAAGGTATAGAGAGGCGACTGAGAAGAGGAGAGAAACTGAACGGGTTTCAAGGAGATAGATGATGGCGATTGGCGTTTCATTTAAACTGGTGCAGATTCTGGTTATCAGTGAAGAAAATAACCGGAAGGCAGAAAGTTCGAGAAAAGAAACTGTTGGAGTAGAAGTGGTGGTTGCATTTAACTATTTCAACAGGAAAAGGGTGGGACCTAAATGCCAGTCTAGTAATACGCCTAAACGCGCGCAGTCCGGGGACCGGGGGTGGGGGGTAGCCATGAAAATATTTGTAGAAAAGACAGAGGGAGGCAAAGTTATGTCGATGAGGAAGTGACTGAAGTCGAGATGCCAAATTAGGATCGATTACATTTTCAGAGACTTCTTTGGATTTTATCAAGAACTTCGAAATGTGTAGCTAAAATCTATTTTTTGTAGATATCATGCACAATTTCTCTTGCCGAAAAACTTAGTTACAAAAACCTTTCGGTTTAATATATCAGCCATCCACGGCGCTACATCTTTACTATTGTTCATTATTCGTTTTTCCTTTGTGAGTTTTTAGAAAAACCAGGGGCTTCTATCTGCAATGCTCTATGATTTGCGTTACACGGGCACAAGATATCATTGAAAAAGTAAGGCCATAGGTTCAAGAACAATAGCATCTTATTTGGCCAACTTTATAGTGCACTTTTGCTTTCTTCATTTTACAGTGTGACCTCTCCTTAAATATTTGATATTTGTGCACGAATGTATTTTTAGAAAGAACTTCACTTGTTTGCTAGCTCATGATATTTGTCTACGTACTGGTCATCATAAGGTCGCTTCTGATTGGTCACAGCTTACTGGAAAATATAAATAAAAAAAAAGTATTCTATAGAACTTATACAAAAAGTCACTAATAAGACTCGTATAAGTGTGCATATATCTTCGTCCGGCAAATTCTCTCACTAAAGTAAACTAATAATAATAACCATTAAATATATCTTAAATCTTTTTCTTCTTAGCTAGAAACTAATATTATAATATGTTAGTTTTAGTAGCTTATATTTATAGCGAGATTAAGACTGCCATTATGTCTAGAAGTACACATATCTGACAGCCCGAGATGGCAAGAGAGTTAATTGTTATTGATGGGTTAAGAATTTCGTCAAGCTGTCAATTATTAAGCATTATGATTTAGTCGATATTGCATTCAAAACTTGCAGTCATTTACCAACGAATATTATGAATTGATACTTTAAAAAATAACAACAAATGCAAGACATAAAAATAAATGTAATATATACCTGCTGTGCCTAAATAAGCCGACGAACACACACACACACACACACACACACACACACACACACACACACACATATATATATATATATATATATATATATATATATATATATATATATATATATATATGTCTTTATTGTTCGAGCCCCGGAGAATCAAAATGGTTAGGATTACACACAGAGGAATTGACGGAGACAAATCTTCGGTAAACCTCTAGCCAGCCCCTCTCTCCAGATCAAGAATCGGACCGGTTAAATAACATTTGGGCACTTACGCCTTCCCCGCGTATGTCGCCTATGCAAATTCGTGTGCCCACGCCTCTTCCGTCATGCGTCCACGCAAGAACACATTTCCTTCCGCTCAGGACAGCTGCGCACCTTGTTTAGCCACCGAATGCATATTTTTTTTATGCTATTACCAGTTCATACTTTCCGCTCACATACTTATGCAGCTGGCTTTAGTTCAAAAGTCTTTCTTCAAACGATATCGACAGACAGAAATAACAGAAAAAATGGTTCAACAGTTTTATTGTTGTGATAATAATATCGCATTACGTCGGGTAATTCACAAGATCATGGGTGAGTTATGTGAGAGATCCACCAGGTTGTTTTCCTCTTATTGTGAGCATTACTATATCTATGATATAACAACATATTATTTCAAGCACGGGACGCATTAGCCGAAAGTAAAAGAATGAAAAACCTGATTTGTTCTCAGAGAGGTTTTTATACCGCTAAGTCATACACGAAGCTACATACACAAAATTAAATTTGCCCCACGTAGAGAAACTATAATGCATGCAACAAGAAAAGCGGCAAAAAGAGAGAGACAGAGATAGCGTCATCTTTTTTCTTCCAACATGAGGAATGCGAGCCTCAGATTTTTGATTTGGTTGTTTATCAGCATATCAAGTCCTTATGGGTCATTTAAGGCTGACATTTAATTTTCTTGTAAACTTTGAAATTATGAAAATAAGATTTATGTTATTCTGCTTTCACAATTGAATACATGGTAGTTGATGTGCAAATTTTGTGCATATAAATGTTTGTGCGAACATAATTACTAAAAGCAGTGATATGTGCGATTTATGTTGTACATTTGTTGAAGTTATATTTTGGAATACAGTTTGATATCTTTATGAAATTGTAGGAGATTATATGGATTAATATCATGAAAGATTTTTTTCATGCTGGTTGATATGTTGTTGATATGTGTACTATGAATAGATATTGTTGGTAATTTTTTTTAAAATAAAACTGTATTGCTGGTACTTTTACTATAAAAATCTATTTTTAAAATTTTTGTTTGTTTGGTGGTGTGGAGTACCTATTTGCACACAGTTTTGATTCTAACAGGTGCTACCACTCCGTCGTTGGGTGAACCTAAAACAGCCATTGAGAATTGATGCCACGCCCCTCAAAATCTCCACTTTTATGATCAGAAGCATGATGTATTTTAGACTCACACCCAAGACTGTGGGCAGAAGATATTTCCTATATCCGCTGAAAATATATTCCCAAAGAGAAACGGTGCCGTGGGCTTGTGAACTGCACACATGACAGCTGGGCGGTCCGGGCAGAGACAGTGAACATCCTAAAAAAGCCACTGCTCGGTTTGACTCCTGGAAGCTGACTGACGGACTGACCACTTTCGTTACTCTATGAAGTGATGTCAATTAAAGCTAAAATGAGGGTTTCAGGAAAACATTTTCATTTTTAAAAATTCATTTTAAACCATGCTTATAGAGGATTAGTGGTGGTTCCTCTACACAATTACAAGCTTATGTATGAGATGTAGTTATTCGATTCCTGTAATATCACTGTGAAATGAAAATTTGATTAGCCTTACAATGGCAGAA